GGTGGAGTAGTTGTATCGAAAGCACAGATAGGTTTCAAGAGCAATTGGATGGGGTCGCGTGTAGAGTTGTTGAGTCGGGTGGCAGAGGAGGGAGCGAAAACCTTGCTTTGCGGGGTGGGAATGGCGCACTGGTAGAGAGTTGACGCGCGTCTGGATTGGGAAGACATAATTGCAGTGGGAGATGGGGCGCAATAAGTAGGAGGACGGGGCGCGACCATTGTAAGGCTACGCGTGAAAGGTCGTTCTGGGGCGTGAGGAGGGCGCTTTGACATCTAGATCGCACAGTGTAGAAATACATCTTGCGCGTTTGGTGTCCTTTGAAAGTGAACGAAAGTTGTGCGCGGGTCAACAAAGCCAGCAACAGTGTAAGCAAGCCCACCCGACAATGTCCCAGGCGGACAAAGGTAGAAGGGTGCGACAATATTCTCCTCGCTCGCGCTCAACTGGGTGCTTCTATCGACGTCTTTCGAATGATCTGGCCATCTTAGTAGCTTTTCTTCACTATGCGGATAGTGTTCAAGTAATTTGCGCGCAAGAAACCTTCTCAGCCAAGTACATGTGACTGACCTAAGAGCGCCTGACGCACAATGCCACATAGCGACGTGACCATGTGAAAGCTCATCGCTTGGCGGTGCCTGCGATATCGCATTGCTAAGGCAACGCGAGGAAATGATCCCGCTCCGCTGTTGCACGAGGTGAATGCTGCGCACATCTCCCGCGACGTGGGGCTTTCGATGTACCACAACCAGTCGGTTCGGTTTATCGTTAAGAGTATTGAAGCCGGGCAGTAGATTCATTGTGTGGATCAATGAACTATATCGCAAAAACTTGGCTCGTGGATCCTGTGATCTCGCTTTCTGCTTCCTCACGCAAGTGACCATCCTCGAACTTTACCTACGTCTCGCAGCGAAGCATTGATGCGCGGCGCCATACCTTTGGCTCAGGACTGACGTATGAATGAAGAGTTAGTAAGGCACGAAAATGGCCGTACGATAACGGAAGTGTATATGCTACTGCCGTGCAGGACATAAGGTCGGGTGATGGCAGCTTGGAAAAACGTGAAAGTGTGAAAATGGAGGAACTTTGCATAACCGCAGATTTTTGATTGTCTAATTCGTAGCAGCGCACGCGATTGAACGGCTTGGTCTAAATGAGAAAGCTGTAGTCGGCAAATGTGGCGACAGAGAATGCGGTGGACAGGAAAGGGGACTGGACGTCGGGAGGTTTGCCAATCGATAAGATTGTCCTAGCGCCTTGGCATACGTAATGACAGCTAACTCACGATCAAGACTGCTGCGAGCCTCAGCTAGTTCAATCACTTTGATGTTGAGGTGTAGTAAAAGCCTTCACACTGATTGAGTATTTCGCGGGCTTTGCGTACATTGCGTTCACCACTATTCCACCGAACCTGATTACTACTGGACGCTCACGGCGATCGGCGGAGTTACCTGATGCCGATGCGCTCACATAGCACGTCACGATCATCACGTCTTCATGGGCCGAAAGGCGCAATACGCTCACTCGAGCAGCGGATTATAGCATTCAACTAGAACGGTAAGCGATCTTGCGTCGCGGAATTCATAGTGAACGGTAAACTGATTGCGACAGCGTACCAAGAGGTATCAAAAGATGCCGACTAGATTGAAATTGGAATGGTAATTAGACATTATAACACTGAACGCATCCAATCAACATTGATGCATCCTAAACGGTGCGTACACTAATAGAAATCATCATCCCAATTCAAAGTTCTCAGATTCCACTTCAGGCCATGTTGAACTCTCCGAATGGCGTGGCGACTAGCCAGGCCCATGCTGGACACAAGAGCAGAGCGGGATGTATCAGGACCAGCCCGACACTCGACTATCACTCCTTGATAGCCAATAAGGAGAGTGTCTGCATTGAAGCAGGTATGTCAATCGTGACGAGACAGATCGACTGTGTCAACGTCATTGGCCTTTCTCTCAACCAACCGCTCTTGCACGCGGGCCTCGGGTTCCCGAGCCGCGATCGATATCGACACTGCGGGACAGCCGACTAGCGGCGGTGGCTGGCGGGTTCAATGGTCCATGTCATAACACGGGTCGCGGGTTGGCGGCAGCTCGGTGTGCAATCTAAGCATCTGCCTTTGAGTTGAGGCTTGCCGGGCTGAGCGCATTCATAATGCGATTCCGTGTAGTTGATGCTGCCTGTCGATGTTTGTTCGATCCGGGAATGAGATTGTGGCCATAGCGCATGGCTTTGAAAAGCGGCCCGGGTCGATGGGGACAGCGACTAGTGCGTGCGACTATGCGAACGCTTGTACCTGCATGACGATATCATGTTTTGTTTTCAGAGACTGGCGTCGCTCGCACGGCTGCTGCTGCGTTGGGAGAAACTGGAGAAGCGTCGGTACAATGTCCTCACTCTGCCGAATAGAGTTGAGTCGCTTGGTAGTCCATCGTCAGGAAATGGGGATGGGATTTCGGGTGTAGCTCGCTCGCGATGCTGGAGATGCTCTTCGTCCATGCGCAAAAGGTCCGCTTCGAACTGCTCCATCACCGTGAGGGCTGGCGCAAATTCGGGGCTCAGAAAGTTCTGGAGTGGCGGAGGGACGGCCTCCTGGCTCGCAGAATAGAGTAGCTGGGGCCTCATGTTGTTGAAGGGGTGAAGATGTCGAGGAGGTTGAGGTTGTTGATGCGATGTGTTGCTATGGATGAGATGATGGCCTACTTTCCAGAGGGTCGCGTCGCGTTTATATCACAGTATCGCATGTCGTCATGCTCTCTTCCCATCCCACACGCGCTAAGTCGCGTGGCAGCTCCAATATCGTACATGAACCCCACGAGCCGTGCGCAGTTTCAATACAATAATAAAATAAGACGTTCCGGAACGATCGCATGTCATTTTCCCCGATCGCATGTTATTTTCCGATGTAGTGGTCACCAGCATCGTCATGGCCTTGTTCCAGACGGTACCCCTGAGACTTCCCGCTTTCCGGGGTCGATCGATCGTAGCGCGTCATCAGGGATGCTGCATCATCTGGCAAGATCCAGGTTTCACCCTAGCAGACAGCACCGTGCTCGATGTGCAAGAATTGAAGATTGAAGTTGTCGGTGGCCTCTTCCATGCGCTCCTGAATCTCGTGAGAAATGTCTTGGTGTTGTAGGCTGGCATCGGCTCGCGCTTTCCGACAACACCCTGCCTACCTCGGCTCATCGGGCGAAGACGGCCAATGCGGTGTCGCTCCTCACGAACACCTCGATGACCAGCCGTGAGCACCCTATCGTCATCGCAACGACACATAGAAATAATGCCCATCCCCACACCTTTCGGCGGTTTTCTGCCCGCTGCTCGAGATCCACCATCTGCATTTCTTGCAGCTTACATAGCAAATCCAGGCCTTAAGTAGACGATACTGCCCGGGATGCCCACCCCACCCTTCTCCCAAGACCGCCGAGACTGGCTGAGCGAAATTTCTGGACTGTTTTCCCAGCGCAAAACCAAGGACGTTAAGAACACGACATCTACGTCAACTGTGAACCTTAGATTTGGCAACCCAAAAGCTTTCGACTCTGTTTCAACTTTCAGTTCGAGATCTCGAGATGACGCCTCCACAAAAGATCAAGCAATGGCTCACGGGCCAGGACGGGCTCGATAAGCTCAGGATGGGCGAGGCGGATTGCCCGGCTCCTGGCGAAGACGAGGTGTTGGTTGAAGTCCATTCCGTGAGTCTGAACTACAGGGATACCGAAGGTACGTACAGTGGGATGTGGTCACACCTACTTTTGTGGCAGGGTCCAGACGGCCATTTGAACAACGCTAAATACGTGGACAGTCGCCATGGGCCTCTACAACCACCACAAGTCCGTAGAACATCCCCCCGCTATTGTCCCATGTAGCGACATGTGCGGTGTAGTTGTTGCGGTTGGTCCGGTTTCCAACAACACTTCAGACCCCTACAAGAACCCAGCTTTCCAGCTTAAGGAAGGCGACCGGGTCATCAGTACATTTGCGCCGAAGCATCTCAGCGGTCAAATCAAGGCCTCAGACATCGCGGGTGGCTTAGGCGGACCTGCGCCTGGAGTGTTGACGCAATACCGTGTCTTCCCCACGTATGGCGTTGTCAAAATACCAGATTATCTATCCGATGACGAAGCGGCTTGCTTGCCAATCGCAGCTGTAACCGCCTGGATGAGCTTGAACTGCATGCGACCAAATGGCGAGATCATCGGACCGGGTGAAAAGGTCCTGTGTCAGGGCACTGGCGGTGTAAGCATCTCTGCAGCCCAGATTGCATCCGCAGCAGGCGCAGATGCCATCGTCACATCTTCCTCCGATGAGAAGCTCCAGCGCGCATCCAAGCTTGGCGCAAAGACAACCATCAACTACCGCAACACTCCCGACTGGGAGAACGCAGTCCTTTCTGCTACCTCCGACGAAGGCGCTGACATCATCATCGAAGTCGGCGGTGCGCAAACGCTCCGCAAGTCATTCGAGTGCGTACGCTTTGGTGGTCTGATATCCTGCATTGGCTACCTATCCGGCAAGCAAGACGAGGCTGGCGACAGGACAAACACGAACTTGCTGTGCCTGAAGAGGAATGTCACACTCAAGGGCATTGTAAACGGTCCTAGGACTGAGCTCGAGAGAATGCTCAAGTTCTACGACGAGAAGAAGATCAAGCCAGTGGTCGACCGCGTTTGGAAGTTCGAAGAGGCGGATCAAGCGATCAAGTACCTTTTCAGCGGAGGTCACTTTGGAAAGGTTGTCATCAAGGTGAAGGAGTAGACGGTATCATAGGTGCGTAGTGCATCAAAATACACCATGATCAAACATCCAACATTTTGTCACATCACCCAGTCCGTCCAATGTCATTGTGCATCGTCTTGAAGTCTCATGGAAAGTTATTCTAATTGCGCAGCATTGTTTTCTACTTGAAAGCTAGTAGTCGCAGCTTGTATGATAATGTGAACAAAGATCGCTCATTGTCTGTAGTTTGCTCACCGCCACATCTCGAACTAAGCCGAAGACTGAGCGCGCCGCTCAGCATCAACGCTCGCACCCCACTTGCGGAAAGCGTTAGTGAAACGTTGAGTCTCCTCGATGGCCTCCTCGTACTCGTCAGCAACAACAAGTCCCTCATACCACGACCGCTCAGTCTCGGCCAGTACAAGACGCCACTCCTTGCCCTCCGCCAGCGCCCAAGCCAGACCATGAACACCCAGGCGTAGTAACCACAAAGCAGCAGAGATCTTGAACCCCCACAACTCGTAGTTCTCTCGGTCCGCCGTAGGCCAGTTCTCTTCGTGGTCCATTACAGCTTCAATGACGCTGTAGAGACCTTCCTGGAAATGAAAGGGGAGGCGGTGCAGACAATGCATGATGTTGCTGATGTTATCCTGGAAGGGTTTGCTGTCGTTGGACCACTCCCAGGCGAAGTTGGCAAGAGTCTCAAGACCAGCGATGAGGGATAGGCAAGCATCGCATTTGAATGTGCTACTGCAAGTATTACGGCATTCGGCGGGGCGGAGGTGGTACCGGCAGGTCTCGACGGCGGTGACGTGCTTTTCGCCCTGTATCATGTCAGTTGGAAGGCTTCAATGTCCAAGAAGAGCAGTCCTGACCTTCTCGAATAGACTGCCTTCAGTCCGGGTGATCTTGATGATCTCGGTCCAGACATCTTTCGCAGCAGTAGGGGATGGTGCGGATGCCTCTGGGTAATCGCCAGGGGATACGAGGACGAAGTCGTCCGTGTCTTCAATGTCGTCGGCAATGTTTATGGGGCTCTTGCTACTGACACTATCGGCAGTCTCTGCAATCTTGGAAGCAGGCATGTTCGTCGCGAGTGTGAATTGTCGGGTACTATACTTTATAAAGAAGTTGTGGTGGGTTTCAAATCAGCGAAGTTGTGAGTCTGACAATCTATATAGCACAAGAGGAGGAGAATTCAGCTAGGGAGTGTCATTCAACAAGTGGGTCTGGAAGAGGTCCATGGACTGAGAGCTTTCTTCCAGAAGGAGAAGGGTGCGGTGAATGTCTGCATCGCACTCTCTCGCAATGCGCAATTGACCAGATCAGGGACTCATTTGTACAGACATTCAGGCTTCAGCGGAAGAACGCCATCAAGCGTACTCGAAGAATATATGCTTGGGGATATCCTTGTTGGCTACAAACTATAGTAACTATTTGTACGCAAGCTGACTTCCAAACAAAGGTAAAACTCGATCCTACACGCTTCCCCGACTGAGGGAAACATTAAGACCAAATATCAAACATGACCAGAGCCGAGACGCACATGTTTGCCCTGGTTTGGAAGTCCCATCGACCCTTCAGTCATCGTCTTCAGTTCGACCCTACTTAGCAAACATCCCAGCAGCGCCCCTCCCCCACATCGTCACCTCCGCAGCAACCCGCCTCAACTCCATCTTCTTCTCTTCATACTCCGACTTACTCTCATGCACCACAATCCACGCCTCCTCCGCAGCCAGCAAAATCTGCATCTCGCTTCTCCCCTCCACCCTCCCCAGCATAAGTCCCTCGGGCCCAAGCTTCAACGCCCAAATCACCACCGAGATCTCAAACTCCTCGTCGCGGACGACTTGGCGCTCTAGTTCCATCCAGTCGTCTGTATCGAGTATGATGGAAAGAACGATGGACAGACTGAGCTGGTGTTGCGGCTCTAGCATGTGCAAGTATTCCGCGACAAAAGAAGGTTTAGTAGGATTGTCGGAGAAGATCTCGGAGCAGATACGTAGGGTGTCGAGTCCATCAATGATTGCATTCGATGTTAAGCTAGGATAGGGTCTGGATTTTGTTTCGATGGCGAGGATTTTGGCGTAGTAGGCGATGATGTCTTGTGCGCTTTTGTCCTACACGGAAGCGTTAGTATGTATGATTGAGCTTTGACGGGCGCTTGTATGCTTACTTCGATGGTTTTGGCAGTCTCGTCACGAACGAACACGTAGCTGCCATCAGGGTGCCGAGGCAGAGTATCGTTGGGGAGGGCGACGACTTTCTTTCCGTCGACGAGCTGGGTGAAGTCTTCTTGGCTGTTGTCGTCGTTCATGTGAGGTTTCTCTGGGTTCGGCATGATGGTTAATTTCGTGGCGAGAAGACTGTAGACAGTGTCTGTATCTGTGGAGTTGAGTTACTATGGGAGTAGAGAGCCCAGTGGTCTTCCTAGGCCGGCCATCACTTTGGTACATGACAGGAAGTAGGTCAGTGCATGGGGCGCGATTCAATGCCAAGATGATGCGATGTGCAGTATATTATTGAGCTTTCTCTTCCGTGAACTACCCTTTTGGACTATGATGTTAACTTGTACCCACGTCCGTGCTCTCCACTGTAGGAAGCCAGCGAGAAACAATGCATACTATACTACGCCCCTCTCATACCTCTCGCTCCGCTCGAACTCGTTTATCTGCTATTCGTCTTCCATGCCGGGCTTTCTCCGCCACGAATCTCTACTTAATCCTGCAAAACTAGTCCCGTAGCTCGTGCGTAAGAGTAGTGTCAACACAGTCTGTTCTCATCAGCAACTCGATGCGTGGTTATCGAATTTTGGCTTACCTTCACGATATTGGGCAGGTCTTCCCCGTTATCTTTCCCACCACTGCCTTCAACATTGGAGGTATTCTTCTCCGCCGTTTCTTTGACAAATCCCTTCCTGACGCCACCATTCTGGTCTTCCATCTTCTTAGCGTCACTCTTAGAGTTTACATCGCCCTCCTCTTCACGCTCGGATAGCTCACAGTCCGAACTCGAGCCTTCGGCGACAGAAGATTCGACGTCGGTGTAGGAATGGTAGTCGGCTTCTACAAACACGTAGCTGTCTTCCATTTCTTGATCCTCGGCGAGTTCTTCGTCCACGGTGACATGGTCATCGGTGTCGAGGGCGAATTCACACAGTCCTTCACTGGGCTTGGTTATAGTGCTCTCTTTGGCACGATTGTCGTTGCTAGCGGCATGATGCTCGGTTGAAGACATGGCTTAGAGCGTAAATTGAAGGAAAGCCTGGTCTGTTGGCGATCGCGGTGTGGTCTTGTGTCCCCGCAAGTTGGGTGACTGCGCTGCTGTTGAGTGACAGTGTGAACACTTCAATGCTAGAGTAGCTGCGTATATATGCGCCGTGAGGGCTCTATACCTGATCGCGCCACTAAGGCAACGTTCATTCTTCTTTCACCATTGTCAGTAAGAAAGGCTGCGATCCGCATGGAAGCGACTCAAGCTTCATTATATGTACATTCAATTGGCAGTTGCTTGTCCTTTGAAGGCAAATAGAGCCCGAGTGAAGCAAGCGGGCGTTCTAGAAATGGCAAATATGGCGAGCCGCTCACGACCTCTGCATTGCCAGTGATACCAGAATAATATGACGATCGTATGAATGGGAGAGGTGAGGAGACCAAGAGATCAAGGATTCACTCGCTGTAGTTAATGATGGCCAATGAAAAAGATCATTTGGCTTGGAGTTCACGAAACCTCAGTCGATTGCGACGTATGATGCTGAGAAAACCTGATTGTGATTGCTTCTTAACGATCATAACTTCGATGCTGCCCCTTCTTCGTATTCACTCAACTCTTTCTTATCGCAATCTCTGGGGCTTTCACCAAACTCCTTACCCTTGCGACATGACAGTTCTTCGGCGCTCTTCCACTTCCAGGCAGTATCTTTCTCTTCACCGTTACCCTTGCCGCTTAGTACGTTGCACATGTATGCGCCGGCGACGGGGAGGAATCTGAGGGGATAATTAGCATTACAACCTCGACACGGAGTCTAAGCCCACTTACTTGTACGAGTGGAAGCTGCCGCCAACGGCGAGGTACAAGTTGGCGAGCTTTTCATGAGGATGCCGACACATCAGCCAATCCTCGGTTGGTGTAACAGCGTCGTAGCAAATTCGCCATCGGTCTGGTTGTTTGCTGCGTGTCCATTCCGGCATGGCGTTGTGCATGATCTGCGCGCTTTCACGCTTCAGTCTCTCAGGGACGTCGTTCTGGTTCCTTCGAGATGGCATAGTAATTTTATGGCCAGAAGGGGTGGTAACCGTGTTGATGACTTCAGTTTTGATGTCATTAATCTTAAGCGTTCGGTTTGGCTGCGAGGGCGGGATAATGTCGACCTCTCCACCAATGACAATCACAGGTACTGTTTCATCGATCATGCTCTGTGTGTCTTGTTCGTTCAGTGTATAGTATGCAGAGACGCGTCCTACAGCGGTGATTTGGCGCTCGATACGGTCTTGCTCCTGGATCTTCAGAGCATCTTCGATCGGCGACATCAGAGAGCTGGTCCATGCTCCTGCTGCCAACACGATTTTGTCGGCTTTCAAAACTTGACCATCTCTCAGCTTTACACCAGCTAGACTACGTTGGTCGGCGCTCAATAATAACTCTTGCACGTCTCCAGTCACCCTCTTGACCCCAAGCTCTAGTGCAACCTTCGTGAAGCTTTGCGTTGCTTTTTCTGCGTCGCACCAGCCCGCTTCGCGATTGAAATAACCCTTTCCATATTCTTCACTCTTGATGCCTTTCGTTACAGCGTACTTGTCCAGCTCTTGTGGTTCTAGATCGCGCGTGTAGTCACCTCCTCTCTCAACAAACGTCTTCCTTATCGCATCGCCAAAAGTACCATTCTTTTTGTCTAGCACGACCCAACCGGTCTTGTGGAAATGACCTTGTACTGCTATGCTCCAGAACCAAAAATGAATAGCTTCATTGGCGAGATTGCAGTAAAGATGTGACTCGTAGTCGGTGCGGATAATGCGATTAGTGTCGATGGCTGCCGCTTGCTTTTGTTTTAGGGATGTATTGCTATCCCAACGGTCGACGATGGTAATCCGAGATGGATCTTTGTATTGTTTGCCCAAATGATAGGCAGTAGACGCGCCAAAGGTACCAGCGCCTATGATGAGTACTGTAGGCTCGCTGCTTGCCATATTGAACGAATAGTGATCAAAAGTCGTAAAGCTCTCAATGATGTCCAGGATAATGGTGAGGCTTCCTGGATGGTAGATGAGACTGCTTGCGCTAGTGCTGCGGGGTCTTTTGCGGATCCGATGCCCCAGCTTGCCCGAAAACGTGCATTGGCTCGCGCGATCGGGAAGGAACTCACGATGCCCAGGTACAACGCGTTCCGAACATGACATATCAACACAAAAGCGGGCGCGTGCGAATGAGCCCTATTCTGTCCAAAGTTGCGCTGCTTTGACAAGTGACATTCTGGAGCCCCGGTTGGGCTTTGGCAATGATCACAGTCGATGCGGGATGCGCGAAGCTTGCTTGGAGACCGGCGTTCGCGTCGCAACGTCACGAGTATTCAGTGTCGCGGCAGGTGCAAGGACGACCGTCGCGAACAAGGTTCACGCGTTGTACTTGAATGTCGCATCAATTGCATCGCCTCGAGAATGCATTTTAGTGGTTGAGACCAGCTTAAAGAGTACGTCGCGATGGCGTAGAGGCATGGTGGCACATCGGTCGTGGAAAGTCGCTAACTAAAGCTCGAGTGTCATCGCTCCTTCCGAATAATACAGCTCACTTCCAATACTCAACACCATCCATCACGCGCGTGCTTGTCAGTAGTAGCAGCGCACATCGCGCATACCAATGGCAGCAGTTCAACACAAACGGATTTGTTCTCTACATGTTCGACCCATTTGCTGCGGCAGTTTTATTTGATCGTGCTCCACGCTCTCCAACCAGTCTCTTACATGCATGGGCACCATTCACTCATCAATAGGTATTCATGACTCCCGAAAAGTCACTTCCGATAATACGCATGCGCTGCGATAACACGATAAGAGAGGAAGAGCTGGTGATGGCAAGAGACATGGAGTAAGCCAGGGGCTGACCGCAGAGCTGGACTAGCCGGTTGCATCATCGGCAACGTGTCGAAGATGTCAACTGTTTAGCCTGGAGGCCTTACTCGGTTTCAGTTCTGGATATTCACTACCGACGAAGGATTCACGGTCCTACACCTGTTCTTCCAATGTAGAAGCTGCTTGCGAGATGCATTTCCAGGAATGGTTAGCGCTGGCTGTCTCGGCTAACCTTCCGTGTCAGACTCGAAGTATCTTTGGATTCAAGTACGAACACAACGCAGAGCTATTGCGCAGCAGAAGACAAGACCCAAATTCAATATCACTGCTGGAACTGAACACAGAAAGCATCTGAGGAGCTTCAGTGAGACCAAGTTTTCACGCTTCAATCTCAGATTCGCCACTGCACGATAGCACTTTAGTGGCTCCTTCGGCAAGCCCCACCATCGAGCGTAGAATGCAGATTCAGCAACTCTCAACCAACACCACGATGTCTCCCAAGATCCATATCGTGCGCCATGCGCAAGGAGAACACAACGCGACCGTATGTCCCATATCATAAAGAAGAACCTCGGATCCAATAAGACTAACTGGCCGCAGCGCAATTACAGCATTCGCGATGCTGTGCTGACAGAAAAAGGCAAAGAACAATGTCGCACGCTTAGCTCGGCGTTCAAATATCATGAGGAAATAGACATAGTATTTGCGTCGCCGCTACGACGAACGATTCAAACTGCGTCACTGAGTTTTGGCCCTGTGCTCGCGCGGAAAGAGGTGCCGTTCGTGCTGTTGCCAGCCTTGCAAGAAGTCAGCAATATTGGATGTGATGTCGGAATTGCAGATACAGCAGATGACGTCCACGCATTCCTACCGAAGCTGTTCGCAGAGGGTGAGCTCGATTTTGACATCAGCAAAGTTGATGCATCAGCGGTGACAGCGGGCTGGAACTCCAAGGTTAGTCGATCTCCCGGTTTGACATCAGCATGCATGCTTACTAACGCCTCGCAGGAAGACTATTGGGCATACGAGAAGCGCGCCATCTCGAAGCGCGCTTCTGATCTCAGGAACTGGCTGTACCAAAGGCCCGAAGCGCAGGTAAAGCTGCCGTTAGTTTCCTCTTTACAGCGGTTTGCTAATGGAGCAGGTCCTGGTCGTCACTCATGGCGCATTTGCACACTTCCTCACCGAGGACTGGGAAGTCGAAGACCCCATGGTGGGCACAGCGTGGAAGAATTGTCGGTATATCTCTATATTTAGTCTGCAGTATGAGCTAACTCTACTATAGGTGAGCATCGCGTGTTTACCTTTACACCTGAGTCGACAGCGGAAGACGCCCACGTGGGTGAGACTTGGGAGAGCAGGCGAAGCAGAGGTGCCCAAGAAGTTGAGAAGGACCCGCATGTAGTGGATGAGTTTCTCAAGACGGCGGCGTAGTTGAGTAGTAGTGTACATAGTCCGCGGCCTCAGGTAGCTTCCGACAACGGCTGTCGCATGCCGTTCCGTCCGTTGTCCAAGAGCCGGAGGGTCCACGAATAGCCAATACCCGATGTGTTTACTGTAGTAACTTGCCCGAGTACATTTGCGCCCTTTGATCGACGGATTCTCCCTTCGCTCCCAATCTGGAGTACCACGGCTGTTCGGCAAGCGCGCCATGATGGCGCAACATCCCACGGTGCCCGGTGCCCCCTGAGGCTTTTGGGATCCTGGGGTAGACGGTAGCCGTGTCCAAGCAATCACATTCACCCCCCATATCATTGGGCGGCGCAAAGTTCGGCAATGCACTCCACAAAACCCTGGATCAAAGATAAGCCACGGTCACGCCGCGCCTGCTATGACCCTTCGAGCAGCCAAGCTGCAGTGCGGCCAGACCAAATCACCGAGGGGCGCGTCGTGCATTACCGCGCTGGGTGTAGTTGACGGGACGCATCGGAGCAGCCTTAGTCAGAGTTTTGCGCCCCGGTACCTGTTCGGTTAATCTATCAAGCCCCGCCGAGGCCCGGGATGGCGCGGCCCTAAAGGCTTGTCGCCGCCCCCATGCAGCCAAACCAGCCCTACGCGACGCCTCTGTCGTCGTCACCACCCAGTGCAGACGCTTATCCCCAGCTTACAGGTTGTCGCGTGAGCACCGCAGCTCTCTTATCTCCAGAACCGCATGCATGGTTCGCTCTGATG